AAGCATCTTCTAAAGATTATACCAAACTAAAAACTTTATTTTATAAATTTTTTTTTTTTTTTTTTTATAAAAATTTGGGTTGGATTGCTTTGCCTTAAATTTACTCCACAAGAGACTTGTATGACATCCTTAACTTATAAATAACGAAATTATATCGTTTTTTCCGACTGTATATATATATATATATATATATATATATATCTTTATATATTTGCTTGTGCATGTGTGTATGTACCTACGCACACACTATTTTGAAGTCAATTTTATTTCAAAATTTGAATTAATTATTTTTTGTGATTTAAAAAAATGTAAATACAATTTTGTGGGTATAATAAAAAAAAAATGTTTGCTTAAGGTATAATGTTTGGAAGATACTAAACCATTTATCTTAAGCAAGGTAATATATCAATAGAGACAAACGGTGTCGTTTTGAAGCGAACACAGACCGGCCCAAAATTAGAAAAAGACAAAACTAATTATGGGTGGATAGCGGGCCCAGTCCAAAATGAAAAACAATTTAACTTAAGCCAGACAATAGCTCAGAAAGACAAACGGTGTCGTTTTGAAGAGTGGATAGAGACTAGGGCCGAAAGATTTCTCTCCAATGGACATGCCCAAAACTAAACCACTATTTTGCAATTTCTTACTCAGCCCAGTTGCCCATTTGACTAAAACCTAGAAATATATATCTATATATATATATATATATATTACTGGCAATGTTTCATAATTAACTACTTTAGTTTATTAATATTGCAAAGCACGCAGCTATTTATATAACCTATAGGAAAAACAACCCTAGGTCCTACAACCTTATCAGAAAAAACCCTAACCCTAGATGAGGGTGTAGGTAGGGTTTTTCAGTGAGTGGGAAAATGCAAGAAGAAAACAAAAAAGGGATTTGTTTGGCTTTCTAACTGGTTTTTATTTTTATTTTTTTTATTTCGAGGCGACACGAGCATTTCTCCGGCGTTTCTTCCCAGCAGACCACCACCACCATCACCACCACCACCACCACTTTCTCTCTAGATTCTCGTGCATGGCTTCCTCTCTCTCTCTCTCTCACTCTCTCATATATTTACCAAAATACCCCCCGTTTTATTAATGTTTAAACAGTATTTGTCATTAATTAGAGCTGCTGGCATGAATGATGGACATGAGGATTGATGCATGCACAATAATTCATGGGGCATGAATTTCCACATACATATGTGCAACGACTGGATTATCTACACATGTATATCCTTGTAGTTGATGGATCCTACGATTTCGTTTCTCGGTGATATATATGATGTAAATGTAAAAATTCATCATAAGATTGTAGTCATTCAAAAAAAAAAAAATAAGGGTACTAACAATTAATACATACATAAATATACAATGAACTAATCAGAAAAGTAAAATGATTTATCTAATATACCCCTAACTCAAATTCGCTAATTGATTACGAGCAAGGGCAAATTCGTTAAAAAAGGTGGTGAAAGTGTATGTATATAATTTTGGTCAACGTGTTAAATAGAATGGTCAAAGTTTGCTTCTAAATTTTGTGTTTTTTTGTGCAAGCATGCAAACCGTATAATTGGCCTGCACTGCCTTTGCTGGCAAGCCAACAAAAATTAATTAAGCCTTTAATTAATTAATAATTTTCATATATATATCTATATTATTAGCATTAATAATAATAATAATAATAATATAATATACTGACACGTGTCAGTCACATTCCTTCCTAAGTTTGGCCGCATTATCTGAAACGACGTGAAACCCTCGTTGAATATTAATAATCAAACTCTTGTTTACTGCAAGTGGCCGGTGGATAGCAAATCCCCACCATTCCTCCCCTTATTAACTCTCTTTCTTCCACAATTTGCTTTCTCTACCTTCACATTTTCCGAGAATATTTTTACCAGCGGCGATCATGACAGATAGAAGAAGAAGAGAGATTCTTCAGCTTTTCTTCGTTTTACACTGTTTATTATCTTCATTAGGTAAGTCTCTTGTTTGACACATTTTCTTCGTGTTCATTTTTTTTTTAGTTGTGTATCAAGTTGTGTACGTGTATATGCAGAGGTTAATTATCTTTTTTTTTTTTTTTTCTCTTTCTGGGATTCTTTAATTGCTCAAAATGTGGAGGAATGGGGTTTTTAGGGTTTATTTTATATTTTTTGGGTTGGTTTTAGTAGGGTTTTTAGGGGTATATTTAATGATTTTCTGAATTGTTTTTAATGGAGTTTTTAGGGTTTTGATGAAGTGGTTTGGAGGTTTATGAGTGGAAAAGTTTGAAGAAAGCGAGAGACGTGGGTCCTGCGCCCTTAATGTGGGGCATTTCAGTCAACTTTCTTCTTATTTTATACGTACGTGTGCTATAATTTGGCGGTAGCTCTGTCATCAACAACAACGGCAGGTGATTCTAATAACCCATATACATATATTATAATTAATCTGCTTAGTGAAAAGATTATTGCTTTAATCAAGTACTGTTTGCTTAATCAGCATCGGGGTTCAGATTCTTTCTTATAATTTAAGTTGGTGTTAATATATCTATAAGATAATCGTGTACTCTCGTAAAAGAGAGCAGCCTGAAAACTCTGAGTTGTTCAGTTTAGAAAGTTGTAAATACAATCTCGAAAATTAATTTTTCTAAGAAAAAAATAAACAGGTTGATTAAAATAAACATAAGTTTACTTGATTATTTAAGGAAGGGATATTTGCAGGCCATCAAAAAGGAGAAAAAAAGAACTTTCCTCGTCACTGATCTTACTCTCCTTCTGTCTTCTGATGATCTCATTTTCTTTTATTTACCTATATATATATATATAGATTTTGACTCGTGTCTTTATATACACATATATATATATATCATACACACAAATATTATTCTCCATATGATTATAAATGGCTGGCTTCATAATAATTGATGCAACACACATTATTTAGTATTATATGTGTGTGTATGATCTCCATACTTAAATATGCACGTGTAGCACATTTTATACTAAATGAATTGTTGAACTAATATCTAACAGGTTTTTAATTAGTAAGAGGGTATAAAATTGCAAGTATGTAAAATGAATCCAAAAGTGTATATATATATATATATATATATTTTGAGAATATGCATATAAATATTAGATACATTAGAGCTTTTCTATGCCTAAATACAAGATTATAAACATATAAGCTTGTAATTAGGTGAACATGGCAAACATAAAAGAAAGATGAGTCAGTCCATATATACTATAGTAGTAAGTAGTAAATATATGTCGATAGACAATAATTAATCAATTAACTATCTACTTAATTAATTAATTTATAATTATAATATAATGCGGTTCATTGAAATGGATGATAAGGTTAGATGTGCAAATCTTAATTATATTATTATAAAATTCTTAAAGAAAAATGTACTTGTGACTAATTGGATGACACAGAGGCACAAATATTATAATTAATTAGTTAATTAAACAAATTAAGAGCTCCTAGCACAATACAAGCTTCTAGTGTGCAAAGGGCACAAGTAGTAATAATAATATTATTATTATAATTATTTTTTAATAAAAAATTATCTCTTTAATTAATCTCATTTAATCTTTTTTGACGGGTGCGAAAACCAATTAAGCGGTCAACACATTTCTACTTAGGGAACCCAAATTAAATATCTTCCACAGTAATTTTCTTAATCTTTTATATCTAAAAATATTATAGTAAAATTTAAATTATATTATTATTATTATTATTATCGTAAAATTATTTGAGAAAAAAAAAAAACTTAGTTTTGCTTGTACATGAATATTTTTTGTAATTAAAAAATAAAAATCAGTACTCAAAAAATTTATTTAATTAGGAAAAATTTGAAGAGGAGTAATTCTCACACTTTCTTAATGTTGAAAATACGTGGATAATTTTACCCTCTCTCTCTCTCTCTCTCCATGTGTATATATATGTATGTATGTATATATATATATATATATATATAATATTGCATGTCCGTACACATGCATCTTTAACACATGCAGAGACTCGGGGATCTACAAACATAGAGTCTCTTTAATCTTTTTGGCTAGTGGGTAGTGACCCGCTTGGAAGATCTTCTCTGGTTTAAGGGTTTTCATCTTTAGATATTTATATTTTTGCGTGTGTGTACTGATTTTTTATTTGGGTTAAATAGATTTAAATTAAATGCATATAAGATTTATATATGAGTAAATGAGAAGAGAGGTAACTTTACGTAGAATAGTCAATTGTTAGACTATGAGATGATTTGCAGAGTGTGGGAATGCTGGGCTTTGGGGAGTCATATATTGCAGTAAACGAGGGCGAGAGTTCCAATAAACCAAGTGGGCTCTTTAAAAAGAGAGAGAGAGAAGAAGAAGAAGAAGAAGAAGAAGAAGAAGAGGAAAAAGGGTTTTTTAGGGTTGGATTTTTCCAGTTGGAATTGTGGGTTTGTCTTAGTACAATGACCGAACATATATACATATAATATATACATTTATATTGCACTCGTGTCCCTATAACTTATTATGTATATAGTATAATAATGGAGGTTATAGTTGTGTTATTTGTCATATTGATTTTTCAAGTGTTGGGAATTGGTGTTTGTAGTCAGACCAGACCAGTCTCAAAGGGGTTTGCTTAAGCTAAGTCTCTTCCCTATGTAATTTAAAGAGCTTCTATCTTTCTCTAATCTTTCTCTCTTCTCCTCCTCTCCTCCTTTTTCTTTTCACATGTTCTCCTAAGATATTCATCTCTGCAACCTAGAGAGAGAGAGGGAAACTGTGCTGAATCATCCTCTCCTGCAAATACTCACTTGGGTAAAGCTCTGATCTCCACTTGTCCTTATTCCTGATCTCTTCTGGGTAAGGCCCTTTTCCTCAAATTACTTTGAACTGTTCTTTCCGGGGGAGTCTCGGTATATATATATATATATATATATATATTGATACGCAGACACACACATATAGATATAAGAGTGCAAGAGTGAATCAGAAGATATGGGCTCCATGAATTCAAACAACTGGCTTTCTTTCCCACTTTCACCGACTCATCACTCTTCCATACCAGCTCATCTCCATCCTTCTCAGTCTCACCAGTTCAATCTAGGGTTAGTAAGTGATAACATGGACAACCCTTTTCAAGCACAAGGTATAAACATATTTAAATACATACATATTAGTTTCCTTTCTCAAGCTGGCTAACTATACCTCACATATTTCTTACCCATGGTACTGGCATAAAATTTTTACACAGAATGGAATCTGATAAACACGCATGGCGGTGGAGAAGTTCCGAAGGTGGCAGATTTTCTAGGAGTGAGCAAAACGGAGAACCAGGCAGATCTTGTAGGGTACAATGAAATTCAAGCTAATGATCATTCTGACTACGCCTTGTTCCAGAGCAACAGCATAGTACCTGCTGTTCAGTCAACCGGCGCCGTTTTAACGTCTTCTAGTAAGACCTACCAGGAGTTTCAAGAGAGTACGAATAATTTACAGTCACTGACTTTGTCTATGGGAAGCACTGGGAACAAGAGTTCAACGTGCGAGACTAGTGGAGATAACAGTACAAACAGCAGTGCTGTTGAAGCTGCACCCAGAAGAACACTGGATACTTTCGGCCAAAGGACATCTATTTATCGCGGTGTAACAAGGTTAAAAATTTAAATACAACCTGGTCTGAATCTATTTTTCTTCTGGTAGAAATTTTGGATTTTGATTCTAGGTCAAATGGGGTTTTTTTTTTTATGTGAGTTGCAGACATAGATGGACAGGGAGATATGAAGCTCATCTATGGGATAATAGTTGTAGAAGGGAAGGCCAGTCAAGAAAAGGAAGACAAGGTTTGATCCTCACTGACCATTTACATATACACACATATCTATAGATATAGTTCTTCCTTGCTTATTTCATTATCTTGAAGACCCTAACCGTTAGTTTTGTTTTGATTTTCACGGTAATTTCTATCGTGCCACCGATCTTCAATTGCAGTTTATTTGGGTGAGTGATGAAGTTCATATATTCTATTTGCACATAAATATGTGTATGTATATATACTTGACTTTCCTTCTTAGACTTTCCTTCTTATGAAACTGTGATTCTAACAGTAAGTTTTATTTTTTCCCTCTCTGGCAGGTGGATATGACAAAGAAGAAAAAGCAGCAAGGGCTTATGATCTGGCTGCGTTGAAGTACTGGGGAACGTCGACTACTACTAATTTTCCGGTAAGTTAATTTAACTGTGTTAATTTTCCCCAATATAAAGATTAAAAATTAATGGTTAATTAGGATGTCATAAGGTGGAAACTGCAACACCATTGTTTCCAGTTAATGATACGATTAATTAGTTTCTTTGGTTAATGCTTCAGATCAGTAATTATGAGAAGGAACTAGAGGAAATGAAGCATATGACTAGGCAAGAATTTGTTGCTGCTATCAGGAGGTACTTATAAAGTTTAAGCATTCTAACTTTCTTAACTTGCTTAAATTGAATTCGTTCATAAATCAATAATGAACAGAAAAAGGACTCATCTTTTAACTGGGTATTAACCAATGTGTTTCACTGTAATCCCTATATTAGATATATACACACTCACACATATGTATAGTCGATGCCATGTCATCATGCATCTAATTACATTGTTATCTTGATCTGTGGCTGATTTTCAGGAAAAGTAGTGGCTTCTCTAGGGGTGCATCAATGTATCGTGGAGTTACAAGGCACTAAATTCTGATCTCTCTCTCTCTCTCTCTCTCTATATATATATATATATATATATATATATATATATATATAGACACAGCCAAAAGGACATGAACTTTATATGCCTATATATACATATACGTGTTGATTGCTTCCAAATTTTCATTTTATTCAGGCATCACCAACATGGAAGATGGCAGGCGAGGATTGGAAGAGTTGCAGGAAACAAAGATCTTTACTTAGGAACTTTCAGTATGTAGTCATTCAATTTCCATGCAACACTTTAATATGACACCTTCAAAAGTTCATGCAAACATATTAATTTATTTTAATAAAAATTTATAGATTCATCAGTTACTCAACACATTAACGTTAATTGCAACATAAGTGAATATAATTTCCAAAGGATCATATATACAAACGAAGTCAAAATCGATCGCTCTATCTCTTATAAACTTGTAAAATTATATGTGTACATATACATATGTATTATAATGGAGCAAATTAGTTGGCAAATACTGGTTTAATTGACAATTATATACGATACAGGCACAGAGGAGGAAGCAGCCGAAGCATACGACATAGCTGCAATCAAGTTCAGAGGACTCAACGCCGTCACCAACTTCGACATGAGCCGCTACGATGTAAAGAGTATTCTCGAAAGCAATACTTTGCCGATAGGTGGTGGAGCTGCAAAACGACTGAAAGAAGCTCAAGCCATGGAGTCATCAAGAAAAAGAGAAGAGATGATTGCTCTCGGCTCCACCACTTTCAGCTATGGTGGATCAAGCTCAAACACAAGATTACAAGCTTACCCTCTTATGCAAATCCCATTTGATCATCATCATCAACCATCTCAGCCTCTACTAACGTTACAAAACCCTGAAATCTCCCACTACGATCCTTCCTTTCATCATAACTATCTCCAGACACAGCTCCATTTGCACCACCAAACTGGGTCGTCTTCTTCGTCTTATCTCCAGCAACAGTCGAGCCAGAACGCCCAATTCTACAATAGTTACATCCAGAGCAACCCTGCTTTACTTCACGGCCTGGTTAACATGGATCACAACAATGGCAGCTCAAGTGGGAGTTACAGTACTGGAGGATATCTCGGAAACGGCTCAGGAATTGGGTTGGCGCCTAATTCCACGGCGATAGGTTCTGCCGAGGATCTTTCCCTTGTTAAGGTTGACTACGACATGCCCTCCGCCGGCTATGGTGGCTGGTCTGGCGACTCAGTTCCTGGCTCAAATCCCGGCGTTTTCACAATGTGGAATGATTGACATTAATGATCTGCTCAACCTCAGATGACAGCAACAATTTACAATGCTTTCTTGTTTTTTCCCTTTTTTTGTTTTTCCGTTTGTTTTTAGTCCAAAGTACCATGGAAAAGATAGGTCGTCTTCTGATGAAATTAAACTTGGCCATCTTCTCAACCTTCCTCTGACCTTTATTATTTCTTTTTTTTTTTTTTTTTTGGCTTAACTTTCTTCTTGAGGGTTTTGAATTAGGGTTTATATATCCTGGTTGGGGAAGAACAATTTGACTAATGGTGACTGACTTCAGTACTATATGGGTCAATGCTAATAGCCCTCACGGGCTGTTTTTGGGTTCTAATTGAGACGATAGAATACCCAAATTTTGTATGCATGCAATTGATCTTCATATTTGCTTTCGGATTAATTAGATGTGAACTTTTATTAATTGATTAATAAAATTACTTCTTAATATTCTTTTTTATTTGTAATTTTACCTGTCTTTTTTTAATTATTTTTTAATTAAATTTTTAATTTTTACTTATTTTTTGAAACATGAATTAAAGACAAATTCAAAGGGAACAGCTATAATGCATCATGTATATTTATTAATTTTTAATCGCTTTAATGATATTCTAAATTCTTATCACTAATAATATGTCTAAAAATATTAGACAGATATTTATATCGTAAATGATATATTTAAATCAATATTATGTTTTAAAAATATTATTAGCATAATCATCGCACCGTAATCATTTTTTTTTATCTATCTCTTTTTTTAATGAAATTTCTTTTATCAAAATTTATGATGTAGAGATTCCTCCAATTCCACACACATAGAGTACTCAATATCAACCTCGATTTCTTTCATTGCCGACCTACTCCTCATCGGTACAATGTCACAAACAATTTTCCACTCAAAGAGCTCTATCCACGGGAGCACTTTTGCATTCCATAATTTTTTCCAAATAGTCTTTTCATCGTTAGTTATATTGTCAAGTAAAAAAAAGAACCTCTTATACCAAGTTCTATAGTAACCCAAAATTCACTAAGTGCAAATTCGATTCTTTATAAACCCATGTGATTTTATTTGGAATAAGGTTGTAACTTATTGATATACTTATAATATCAACTAGATCCTACGGTAGAAAATGTTATTATAATAGAGAGAGGTTCCAACACGACCATCCATCAATTGAGCAAATCAGATACCCATTCAATCTCGGCATTAATAGGATGCAACCTCCATATTTGTGCATTTGGTGTGTTCATTGTCCATCTATTCTCTCATATTTATATTTAACATCCATTACCAATTCACCATGTCAAACTCTCTTCCAATAATTGCCTCTCAACCAATAAACTAAGTTATACATAGATCAGCATGTAACCCATAGAAGCCTAAAGAAGTCCCCTCGTTGAAAGTACATTGTTCCTAAGACTTGATAAACCAACGTGCTTTGATTTAAAACCAATCGCTAAGCTTACTTAGACAAGTATTATTGTATTAAGACAATGAAAGTCTCTGAAGTCCAATTCTCCCAAGTAATTAGCTTAAGCATATTAACGAGCCCAATATAGTTCTAAAATATTTGAATATCATCTTCAATAATCTAATAAAAAATAATGCTATCACATACAAAAAAGAAAAAGAAAAGTAAAAAACGGGTGGTGTAGAACGAGCAATTTTGATTCGTCTTGATCTACACTCATTTTATCAACAACGACAATATTTTTTTTAGGATTATAAACTATTTGTTATTTGTCATACGTTGTTATTAAAATAATTATAATAATAATAACTAAGAACATTTATTTATTTATTTATTGAGTGACAAGTGAAAGAGGATTTATACTTGGAACTTGGTATAAATGTAGCAATGATTACTGAATTAAATTTGCCAGAAAATTTGAACTATTATGACCGGTCCAATACCCTTATATTATATACGTGTGTATACATGTATATATATATATATCTATATATATATATGTATATGTTACTTGGAGAAACCGCTATATACATGTGTGGATGTAAATGTATAAAATTAATTAATAGAGAAGCACGTGTGATGATTTCAACAAAATATCAGCATAGAAATATAAATAGATGTGAAAAAGTGGGCATGCAAATTTCGAAGTCTGGATTATCGCTTCATTACAATTCTGGTTCTCGATCACTTCAACACCATTCCCTCTGACCATGTGGCCTGTTGGTCCCTCCCCTCATTCTGCTAATTCGCACTATGTATGTATATATATATATAATAACAAAATTAATTAATGAATATAATTAATTAGTTTACGAAGTTAATTAATTGATTAGTAATTTAATCAGTATAAAGTATACTAGATTATTTTTATCTATTAAAATATACAGATAGTTAAGTTTAAAATTTATAAATTTATAAAAAAATATTAGAAACGTGCTGTTATTTAATAATTTGCAAGAAGCTGTTGAATTTTTTTTAAAAAATATTTAAAGTACTTAGGAAATTAATATAATATATAGTTTAGAATTATTTTTATAAATTAATTAAAAGTTAAAACAAATTTATAATATATATTAATCTCGCATTGCATAAAACAAGACATTGCTATGCACATGACTTAATACTATATAATAAGTAAATTAACTATATGCTATATATATATATATATATATATATAAAATCCCAAGATAGTAGGAAATCAAATTTGTATGACTTCTTCGCATTACATACACGTATATTGTATGCATACATAATGCATTATATATCTATACATACACACATATATAAGGAGGATATGCATTAACTTCTAAAAGAAATAAGAGGAACAACCTTTTAATTATGTGTCCATGCATTGAATAATGGAATAGGAACATATTAGGTCATGTGCATGTTAGTGTCTTGTTTATTGCACAAATCAAGATGAATGTACATTTATATTATAATTACAAATTAAATACCGTATTAAAATGAACGGCTATGATTTAAGAATGATCATATTATATATATATATATATATATATATATATCATATATCATATATTTAAGGATCACAATTTATTTATTTAATTAAAAAAGTTAGAGAGAAAAATTGGGCTAAAAGGCCGAAAATGAAAAAGGAAAAATTATTTGGGGCTAAAATTTAATTATCAATTATTCTAAAAGGGCCGAGGCCCAGTAATTATAGCAGTTTCAGGCCCATTTTGCTCTCGAATGCTAAGGCGACACAAGGTATCACAGAATTTCCATGAAACTCTACAACCTGGTGCTTATTTCATTTTCTAATTTTCACCTCACTCGACTGCCCTAACAGGGATTTCCCTCGTGCAAATCGACTCTGCTGACTGCATTTACGTGTTCGATCTCTTTGAGCGATCATCATGGGTTCAGGTATATTCGCTATTGATTAGTCGTATCAGTGATAGGGTTCTAGAGCAGTAAAGAGTCTTTGTTTTGACTCCATACTTCGTCTTCCTCGTTTCCTTTTTAAATTTTTGTGGATTTAATTTTTTTTTATTTTCCTGGGTAATCCGCAGATGCCGATATGGAGGATTACGGGTTTGAGTACTCGGATGAGGAGCCCGAGGAGCAAGATGTTGACATTGAGAATCAGTACTACAATTCTAAAGGTGTGTGTATTACTTCGTCTAAACTTCTTTCACGGTCAATCATCTTGCTGTTCGGTATAGATTATTGAGTTTAACTTTCGAAAATTGTTTGAGTTGAATCTGTAGTATTAGGAGACTATAAGGAGATAGGTTTCTTAGATGTTAATTGTGGAGGATACTGGCGAAAAATGACTGAGCTTTCTGCGTTTGTTTATAGTTACTAACTGCATTTAGATAATTAAGTACTTTTTTTAATGGTTATTAATGAAATGCTTGTTCAAATATATAGTGTTAATCTACACATCTCATGCGCATCATCCAGAGATCATACCATTTCCTATTGTCTTGGTTGTGTATGTGATACACTTAAATTTCCCCCCCTCTCTCACACTCTTCCAAATGCATTATAGGTTTGGTGGAAACTGATCCAGAAGGAGCACTTGCTGGATTTGCTGAAGTAGTTACCATGGAACCTGAGAAGGCTGAGTGGTGAGTATTTCAGAATTTTCGTTTTTATTGCAAAATGGAGGGATGATCATTTTTTATGGTATATAGTCATAAAAAACCTACAGCTTTCACACGTTTATGTATTTTAAGGCATCTATCTGAAGAAATCATTATGCTAGAAGGACCTCCTTCGGATTTTTTCTTATTCTTTTCTCTTTTTGGTTGATAATTGATATTTTTAAACTAAAATTTTGTCGTTATTCTTTGTATGAAGAGAGTGTCATATGCTAGATGTGCAAGCTTGTACTAGCAAAAGGGATATTTTCAGTTCCTACTGAACATGGAAGAACAGGTCATGCTTTTCTAATTGAATGTTCACATCAATTGATGAGAAGCATGGCGTGCGAAATTATTGGCTAATAAGGAAGACATATATGATGAATAAGTTCATGAAATAAAATCTGTATATCGAATTAGAGGAGATTCAATTTTCCATTGTTTGAATAAGATGAAGAACGGCCGAGTAGTTAAAACTTGTTGACAAGGATATTGATTTCAATATTTTTTTCATTTTTAATAAAATTTACATGCTCTCTTTAAAATGGTTACTGGATCTTTTCTGTTTGATGTGCTCCCTGGATTAAAGGTTTTACATTTACTATATGAAAGCATTTGTGGATACTAAAAATTTTCTATATTTCTTTATTCTTAGAACAAAAAAACTGGTGCTCAGTTGGATCAAGCCATATCATTATCAGTAGTAGCTTTAAGGCTTGTTTCAAGTTTTAGCGAGCGTTCAAAACACTTTCTTCTTTTTCCATGCCGAGGTCAAATTTTTAGGATATAAGGAAAAAATGGTTGATAGCAGGGGTTTTCTCTAGTCAATGTTGATCCTAGAGGAATGATAAACTGGTGTTTAATTACTAAGTGAGCATTAAATGATTAACTTAGAGTTGAATGATTATGCTCTCTTTTGTCATTAGGGGATTCAAAGCTCTGAAACAAACTGTCAAGCTCTATTATCGTTTGGGTAGATATAAAGAGATGATGGATGCATACAGGGAGATGTTGACTTACATCAAGTCTGCAGTAACACGTAATTATAGTGAAAAATGCATAAACAATATTATGGATTTTGTTTCTGGGTCAGCTAGTCAGAACTTTGGTCTGCTACAAGAATTTTATCAGACAACTCTAAAGGCCCTTGAGGAAGCAAAGAATGAGGTGAGCATATAGTTTCATCTATATAAATTTATAATCATGATACTACTTTCAGTGCCAAGATGTGATATGTTGGTCTCTTGCACAGAGACTTTGGTTCAAGACGAATCTCAAGCTATGTAAGATTTGGTTTGACATGGGTGAATATGGGCGAATGAGTAAGGTACTTTCTTCTAAATTTTTTTTTTCTCTGATTTAAATGATCTCTATGAGAATAACATGTTATACTCAACCAGATTTTGAAGGAACTCCATAAATCTTGTCAAAGAGAAGATGGTACTGATGATCAAAAGAAAGGAAGCCAACTTCTGGAGGTATATGCGATTGAGATTCAGATGTACACTGAAACCAAGAACAATAAAAAGCTTAAGGTAAGGATTTTCTAATTTTCTTTCAACTTTTATATGAAATATGACTTTGCTATCTTGTATTTATACTACTGTGCGACTTTGCAAGTTACTCTTTTTGTTTCCTTCTTCCCTTTCCGGATTCTTCACTTCTTCTATCCAGTCTTCTGTTGCGACATTAGATCATCTACTTTCTAATTATTTTTGTTAGTCTAAATACTCGGATAAATCCACAAACTCAATTTCAATCATTAATCCCCTTTTTTCTAACTGATTAGCTTGAATATTAGTACTCCTAAGTAGTTTGTATTATCACACCCTCATATGTCACTTTTCCACATTTTAAAATGTGCTATAGTCTTCATTATCTTTCCGTTCATACCTCTTTCTAGTGGTAAATCCTTGTCCATAGGGAAATTTATTTTCAATGTAGTTCTGCTAAAGCCTTGAGTTTTTTTAAGGGCTTGTAGTTTCTTTGGCTGCTAAAATAACTGACCTTCCATATAGGATATGAACGTAAAGACGAAGTGGCACTGGAACCTTGCAAGTCTATGAGAACTTTCTCTCTGTCTTTCACATTTCCCATGAGCATTGTTAATTCAATGAATTAGATGTTTGCCTAGAAAATATCATATAAGAAACTATTCTCTTACTGGAAGCAATCATCAGTCTGTAAACAGATCTTGCACTGCTGTTTTCTGAGTGATGCAAGATTGCTGGTAAGGCTGTTGCTATAGTTTTGGAAACATGATATTAGCTGTTTAATATTAGTAGTTATAATTATATGGATTTGGTGCTGATTTTCTTAAGGGGACTCAATTTTTGATATCTCTCTTGTATGGTTGATGATATGTGATCTCATGCTTGTGAAGATTTGCAATGGGAACTGTCAAAATAGATCACACACTGAGCCCAATAGAAAAATTGCCAGGGAATCACAAATATGTTGATAGTTATTGCGTCAATGCTAATCTCTTTCCAGTGTATGCCTTTTTTCAAACACAAAAATACACACATGGACTTCAGTTAGCATTGTCATCAAGCTGCATCTTACTTATTGGATTACTTGCAGCAACTATACCAGAAAGCACTTGCTATCAAGTCAGCTATACCACATCCGAGAATCATGGGTATAATACGTGAATGTGGTGGGAAGATGCATATGGCGGAACGACAGTGGGCAGAGGCTGCGACAGACTTCTTTGAAGCTTTTAAGAATTATGATGAAGCTGGGAATCAGAGGCGTATACAGTGTCTTAAGTATGGGTGCTGTCTTCATATATTTTTGTTTTATTTCAATATCATTTTGAATCTGCTCTCTCTTTTTTCATCCTAATAGCTTTTGTTTTTCTATCCCTCAAAAGTGAAGTCTGCAGCAATCATTTGAGCAAGGTCTTTATTTGTCTCTTCAGATGTATTGACCTGAACCAACTTCACCTTTCGAATTTTGTTTGAGACCAACTAAATTTTCCTTGATATCTTTTGTAAACGAACTTAGACATTTCCATAGAGAGGAAGGTCATTTTGATAAAGAGCTAACGAGTGTTCTTTATTTGGAAATAGCAGTTGCAATTGTGCTCTAATTTTTTGTCCCTTAACCTTGACTTGTTCTATATGTAATTTCAAAGTACGGTCTCTTGGTTGCATATTTGGCCTCTGTGTGATGCCTCTTAATACTTTTTTATATTTACACTCATTTACCTATGAGGATCTGCATCACATAGAATGTGGCTTGACAGAACTTTTAAGGTGTTTGCCTTTTCTGCTGGAAGAGCAACTGGTTAAAGTCTATTTTCAGATGTTTTGTATGTCAGGATAATCTGATTTCTAGAGTAAATATGCCTTCCTATTCAGTCCTTCATGTATTTCTCCTCTCTTCCCCCCAAATATCCCTTTTCTTTTCTCTTGTATTTTTATGTATTTGTGTGTGCAATTATCTTATGCCTTTTTTAAAATAAGAAGCAAGAAAGATTATTCAGTTCACTTTAAATGTGTCTTATTTGGAAGATACCTGGTTCTTGCTAATATGCTGATGGAATCTGAAGTAAATCCATTTGATGGGCAAGAGGCAAAGCCGTAAGTGTTTTGTCTATGCAATCCTCACAATTTTGGCTTGTGTCTTTCCTTCCTCTCACTTGTAACCTTTCTTCTGTTTGATCTTTGCAGATATAAAAATGATCCCGAGATCTTAGCAATGACAAATCTGATAGCTGCCTATCAGAGCAAATGAGATTTTAGAGTTTGAGAAGATCCTTAAGGTGCATTTAGTGTATCCTTTGTACTCTATGTTATCTGTTTGGAAGATGCTATAAATTTCTGGAGGCATTTTTCAGATTAAAAAAATTCTGAACTCGTATAAGTTGTTGCTCGTTTTTATTTCAGAGTAATAGGAGGACGATAATGGACGATCCATTTATCCGCAATTATATTGAAGATTTATTGAAGAATGTCAGAACGCAAGTGTTGCTTAAGCTGATCAAACCATATACAAGAATAAGGATTCCCTTCATATCCAAGGTGAGCTTAAATTGCTTAAAATTTTTTTCTAGTTTCATGATGGGCTTTAACTGATGTTAAATATGTCAAGTTTCAATAAGGTGATTGTTGAATATAAAAAGAAGTTAACTAGAGATGTTGCTTAAAAAAACACGAAAAGTATAAGAGTTTACGATGCTTGAAGAAGGAAATATATATATATATAAAAGAAATTTAATTTTTTTAGTATTAGGAAATGACTTTTAAGAGTATAGGGAGAACAGGAAGTAGTTAGAGTAATTAACAATGTATTTGGCTTGTGGAAGAGCTGAATTGTTATCTTTAAAAAATGGACCAGTTGTAATTATATCTAAAAATCTTAACGATCTTATGTTAGGTAATTTTCCTTTTTTTCTTTTGCTATTTTTGTTGTTATTCCGTTTTGAACGCACAGGTGTTTGGCATTCTCTTTTGTGTAAACTGTAGTTTTTAACAATGTACAAACTGAGTGCCCTTGGCTGAAATGCAGGAACTCAACGTTCCCGAAAAGGATGTTGAACAGTTGTTAGTGTCACTAATTTTGGATAATCGAATAGATGGACATATCGATCAAGTGAACCGACTATTGGAGCGTGGGGACAGGTTAGTGTCATTCACCCATTGTCATCCAGTTTTTGGTTAGTTGATATGGGGTTTTGAGTTGAAAAAAAAAAAGAATTATATCATATATATGCCCGTTTCAGGTCCAAGGGAATGAAGAAATATACTGCTATAGATAAATGGAACACACAGCTTAGATCCCTTTATCAAACTGTCGGCAACCGAGTATGTTGAGGCAAATACCAGAAACAAGAGGGTGCTAGTGCTTTTTCTTTGGACAAGAAGCTCTCTCTCTCTCTCTCTCTCTTTCTTTCTTCTTTTTTTGGTCATGGGTGAGCTGGGACGAAGCTTTTGTTAGCTGAATTTCGCATAAGCTGCAAATATGTAAGGCTGTGTTTGGATCTTGATCTTGTATCTTTCCTATAGTTGGATAATTTACTTTTTTGCAAATGAGTACATACCAAGTGTACTACTTACAAAGGTGTGAAAGAAAGAGGATAAGTATACTATTTACTGTTCTTCTTATATATATATATATATTTACATAGAATTTAATATATTATTATCTTTTATTATGTAACAATCTCGTGATTGTATTATATCAGTCCCTCTCAGGAAATCTTGATTTGCTTTGGATGGTGAAAATCTGTTCTTTGTTATTGAACTAAATAATTGACGTACAATAATTAATTAATTAATTTCTTCTCAAGTGATTTGTTATTTATTATTTCTTTAATGAACAGAAACAATTAATTAATTAATAATAATTATTATTTGAATACTATTTTATTTTAAGGGATGAAGTTTATATGGGCTTTCTTAAAGTCCAAGCAATTAACGGAAAATTTAAGCTAATCCAAAAAATTTTTTCCAATTAATCCCAAAGGCAATTCGTCCAGAAAGTTCCTCTCCAAGCCAAGAATAGAATTTCCTTAAGAAAATCAGAGAAGGTATACATGCTCCATGTCACCACACCGCCTTTGCTCTGAGTACCGAGGAATCAAATACACAGACCATTTTTAGGGTTTCATCCTCTGAAGAAGACTCGGCAGCTCATTCATTGTTTCTTCTCGTCAAGGTACGTTTCAATCTCGCTATATATTTGTATGTATACATGTGTATCTCTCGATCTCTATTTCGATTTAATCCATGTAATGTATTGACTATTAGGTCAAATTAAAACTAATATCTTCGAGGATCTAGCTGGTGGATGGGGGGGAGATGTTTCGAATGTTCTTGTCTTTTGCTGTCTAATCAGATTTTGAATTTCTTATCTGTTGGAAAAATGTTGGCCTGAAATGTTTCAAATTGAAATGATGATGAGAGTAATAAGGTTTTTTTTTTTTTTTTTGGTTTAACATTTTTTGTGTCTTGTTGTTGGTGGATTGATATCATTGATGGGTCTTCAAGTTTTTCTGAGACCCAGTTTTCGTTATACATGCTCCTTTGTGTATGATTAGTTGGCCGGTTTTGGATTATGTGGGTAAATCCAATTTCGCATTTCCCGAGACAGAGGATTTTTTTATTCTTGATATCTTTTTTGTTCAATTCCTTTCCTTTGAATGGTGTTGAGTTGTTGTGTTGTCTAGGTTTTAGGAGATACCTTATTTGTAAACAAGAAAAGGATAGAAATTATGAGGTAATCGAGGAGAGCTCAACAGCGTGTATCATAGTTTTTGATATGTAGTAATGGAGAACGAAGTTTGATGCAATATATTCTTGCAAGATATGATTGATTGGATCATGAATAATGTCACCAATCAAAATCCATTTTAGCTAAGTTGATTGGAATAAGTTGTAGAGGACTGTATTATTTCAAAAAAAAAAAAAAAGTTGTAGAGGACTGTGTAATCAGTAGAATTGATTTGCTTGAACCCTTTTCTTTTAACTGTATCTTCTTTTATTTGCATTTACTTGCATTGCATGAAAGAGTTGTATTGCGATTATTTTGCTTTTGTGAACTTATACATGTTTTTGACTATGAAGGAAACTAGAAAGAACAGGATGGTGAAAGCATACACACAAGAGCACATCTACAGACATCCTTGGGAGCGAGTGACCTCCGCATCCTGGCGCAAGTTTGCTGATCCTGAGAATAAGCGTACATTATCTCATATCCTTGAAGTTGACACATTGAACCATAAGCTTGATCCTAACTCTGGGAAGCTTTACACTACTCGTGCCCTAACTATCCATGCCCCCGGGCCATGGTTCATTCGTAAAATTGTTGGTCAGGATATCTGCCACTGTGTTGAATCAACAGTGGTTGATGCCCAATCTAGGTCTATGCAACTTACAACCCGCAACATTAGTCTTCAAAAGTTCATAGAGGTCGAAGAGAAGATCCAGTATGACCCTCACCCAGATAACCCTAGTGGGTGGACAATTTGTCGGCAGGAGACCAGTATTAAGATTAAGCCATTGTCAGCACTGGCGTCCATGGCAGAGAAGGTAGAGCATCGATGTGCTGAGAAATTTATGCAGAATAGCGTTAAGGGTAGGGAGGTTATGGAACGGATCTGTAGGTATCTTGAAGCTGAATCTAGTGGAATTGGTCTCTGAATTTTTATTTTCATTACTTTCCTCTTTTCAGCATTGTAATGCTAGTTTTGTGGGTCATAAACCCATCTAGAATAGAACATAACAAAGGAATATTAGAGTGTAGAAGCCATGGAGGTACTCTAAAATGTCCAGTGTGGTTTTCATGGAAGTTTTGATGTTTTGCAAATAATCTGCTCAGGTGCACTTAAAGCATGTAAAATAAAATGAAATTTTTTGTTTATTTATCTATTCTAAACGAAGCTTCAGCTTTTCTTGATAATTTGTTTCCTTTGAATATTTTGTAAGCTTTTGGTACATGCTGCCTCTGGTTCTTCATGGTGGTCCCACTACAAGCTGGTCTAGGATTCTGCTGTTTGTGTCAATGAGCTTTTGCATTATTATGAAAGAAAAAGTGTTAAAGGACATGGTTGTTCATACTAGAAATTGGGTTTGGTTTCTTTTTTCTTTTCTTTTTCCCCTGTTTGTTTCAAGGACAAGAGGCTTGATGCTCTGTTCTGATGCAGGAAGTTATTGAAGATATATAAAAATGTGGATGTGATTGATGAATTTGCATTGAGATTTTAGATCAAAGGATTTTTACCGAAGAATCCGAATTCTAGGCAGGAAGTCTGTGATTCAAGTGCTCCGTTAAGTTCTTTGCGTGATGATTTTTGTTTGTCGAATGGTGGCTTCATCCAGTGAGTTAGGTTTCTAACTTGAAACAATTTTCTGAAAAAACTGGTGTTGGATTCTTTTCTGCATTTGTTTCTTGTTTTGTTTTGTTTTCTTATGGTAGGTGGGGATTAGAGGAAGCATATTTAATAGCTTCTTTTATCTTTAGCTTTTACTTGTGGAGCACACACAGCATTGAGCTGCTGTGGTCCTGATTGGAATCATTGTTAACATAAAGGATTCTTTTGTGATCAAACTGCTGAACTAACAAAACTAAATTTCAGGACCACACCCTACAATCAAGCCTGAAAATTAAATTTTGCCTTTGCAATTTATTCAACAAAATGGGTTCATATGAGTTACCCATTTAATGAACACAATCCACAAGACTACTCATCATCTGTGAATATGGATATTATGTTGACATTGATATTATGTCTAGTTATTTTTTACTGCATAATTTAATATATTTGAGTTCATTATTCTCTAATTTCAAATATTTAATTGTAAAAATTCATCTACTATCTTTTAAAGTTGAATTGTCACTATTAATGTAACATAGAATTGGATGGAGTGATGATGATAGTTTAATAAAAATAATAAATTATATTCTAATTATGTATATGAAGAATAATATAGAATTATAATTAAGAATTGGGTTGGTGATATCTTTGACTTCAGAGTCTACTTCCATCAAAATTTGAATTTGATGTTTAAGACTTCAAAGTCTAAAATATATCTCTAAATTCACTTTTGTAAAATGAATTTTAGTAATTTAATTAAATATTTTAGGAGTTTCTCTATTTTCTGATTGTATAACACAATCAAATTCTTAAACATGATGTTTAAGACTTGTTAGATGTTATGGCTTAAAAAAAATTAGATGGATGTGTATGTATATCCTTCATACTTTTTATATATATTAGGGTTTTTGATCAAACTATGGACAGCAGGACCAGGAGAGGACCACCTGCCATGGAGGTAGGATATCAAATACTGCTTTTACAAACAACAATCCCATTAAAGCACCTGCAATTGAATGACTGGTTGCTTTTCTTCTGTGCCTAATAGAAATGGGTTGCATTTTTCTTTGAAGAAACATGCACAATAAATTTTTACATGCTTTGAAGTGATTTTTTTGGGGTATGTTTTTATCTCAAACCATTTTTACTTTACTATAGTCTTTAGTCAAAGAAATACTTGACTGGTTACAGTAAAAACTCTTCTTTTCTTATTCTTCGTTTTACCTGTCTTTTATTGTATATGATTGTATGTGATTATGTCTGTAATGTTATTGTGCTATAAAAGTTTAAACCCAGTTACTATCAATTAAAACTGTAAAAGACACAAGTAATTTTGGCTGAAAAAGTTATACATGAACAAACATATATTCTTACATTTTTCCTTTTTCTGACATAAATTAACTGGTAGAAGTTAAAAACTTCTTGAGGGTGAGTTAATGAGAAAGTGATCTACCAACCAGATGGTGGTAATGAATTATGATGAATACAAACCAAGAATCTGAAAATGGAAGCAAAGGTTTCCCTTTTTCTTTGCTTTGCTATTTTAAACTGTACTGGTGGGCATGACAGTCACAGCAACCTTTTCTTTTATCAATTTCCCCTTTGCTTTTCTTTCAAATCTTCCCTCCTTATAGATTTTGAAAACCATTTTTACAATTATGCCCACCAGCTTCAAGAATCCCAAGGATAAACTCTTTTCTTCTTCTTCTTCTTCTTCTTGCCAGATCCTTACAGGGTAAAAATCTTTAAATGCTGTTTGGGTTATAAATGTGGAATTTAATGCTTCTGCATTTAATTTTTCTTCATGATTCCTGTTTCTGATCATCATATTTCCTCTACCGACCTTTATTTTGTGAATTGGCTCCCTGCAAAACTATCTTCTGACATATGAAAAAAAAAGCCTTGAATTTCGATTCAATAGGCTGTACCATTTTTTGGGTTTTTTTATGATTTTTGTGTTTAACTTGTCTGCAACTTCTGGGTCTAAAGATTCTCATGGAGACTAATCCGAAGATGGATGATTATGTGGTGATAGAGCAGATTGGAAGAGGAGCTTTTGGAGCTACTTTTCTTGTTCTTCATAAGTGTGAGAGAAGGAAGTAATTCTCTGCTTATTTTCTTTTTCTCTTCGATTTTTTGAGTTTCTTCTATGATCTTTTCTTGGTCTCTTTTTCATCTAAGAATTTCACATGCATACATACATATATATGTACGTACATACATATATACATATATATCTATATAAACATTGTAATATTTGTAATCTTCACAGATATGTGTTGAAGAAGATTCGTTTAGCAAAGCAAACAGAGAAGTTCAAGCGCACAGCTCATCAAGAGGTTACTCTTTCTCAACTTTCTTTGTTCTACTGAATTAAACTATTATTGTAATTTCACCTTACCATTAAATTAACCAAACAGATGATCTGCTTTGGACAGCATTAGTTTACTCTTCAGTTCCATTCAGTTTCTGAGAAATGTTCTGTTAAATAATTTACTGCAGATGGATCTGATATCAAAGCTGAAGAATCCCCACATTGTTGAATACAAAGATTCATGGGTAGACAAGGTACTAGTCTCTAATTTCTTGCTCCTGCTCCCTGATTGCCCATGTACTTTTCTTAAATGTTCTTGAACCTAATGATGAATTTCGAATAGGACAACTACTTACAGTAGCATCATTAACCCTCTCTTTCAAATAATGATCATGTTTACAGGATTATGTTTGCATTGTGACGAGTTATTGTGAAGGCGGAGACATGTAAGTTGTTCTTCAAAATGGAAGTTTCAACTAATACACCTTATACATGATCTAGTTTTAACTGTTAACTTATGATCAATGTCTGATATTTTACTCTTGTGGGTAACATTGATTAACCAGGGCTCAGCTTATAAAGAAGGCAAGAGGAACTTTTGTGCCTGAAGAGGTAAGGAGCATAAAAAATTTCACATTGTTTTTGGACCTATCTGTTGTTATATGATAAATTAAGCTACAAAATCAAAGGCAAAAATAAGAGGCATAGGCAAGTTCTTGGTTTGATTACTCGATAGGATGACCGAATCTAGATTCTCTATGACAAATTCCGAAAATTACAACAAACACTAATTTCCATAAACCGAACCATGTTAAGAAAAAGTCTATTTATTGATGTTTAATCTTGTAAAGTAAGGATAGGTTAAAAAGGATATGTCAATTATTCTTTTCATTTTCCTCCAGATGCTCTGCAAATGGCTGACCCAACTATTGCTAGCTGTGGACTACCTCCATTCCAACCGGGTTCTTCACCGGGATCTTAAGGTGAGTATGATGAACCTCAGGATTTTTTTCTTAATCTGTCATTTACAAATTTGCAGGAAGTTAACTTGATGTTTCCTAATTTCAGTGTTCCAACATATTCCTCACAAAAGAAAACAACATTCGCCTAGGTAAGAAGTCAAATATATACACATATGTATATGAAACTATTTGATCTTATTCCCATTACCTTGATTTATTTACCATGCTTTTCATCTGCAACTTGAAGGTGATTTTGGCTTTGCAAAACTCCTAAACAATGATGATCTCGCATGCTCGGTAATGGCTGCATTCTTTCTTATCGACTTGCTAGTTTCCTGCAATGTCTTGCAGTCCTTCAAGTGACACGAAAGAAAACAAAATGGGTATTCATTAATGGTGCTTCTTGTGTCTGTGTAGGTTGTGGGTACCCCAAATTATATGTGTCCTGAGCTTCTTGCAGACATACCCTATGGCTATAAATCAGACATTTGGTCCTTAGGTTGCAGTATGTTTGAAATAGCTGCACATCAGCCTGCATTTAGAGCTCCTGTAAGTCCTAATTCAGCCTCTACCATGAATGAATTGAATTCTTCATAATCTATAAAAGAGTAAACTGGTTTTGGAAATCTTGTCTGGACAGGACATGGCAGGTCTCATCAATAAAATAAACAGATCCTCCATTTCTCCCCTCCCAACTGTCTATTCCCCTGAACTGTAAGCATACACATATTCTTCATCTTTCCTAATTTTTCTTCATCGTTCCTAATTTTTTTTCATGTTTCCTGAATTGTAAGCATACACATATTGGTTTAAGTGTATATATTATGTGATGAAAAAAAAAGTAAGGTGGATTTGCGCATTACAGGAAACGGATGATCAAAAGTATGCTACGGAAGAACCCAGAGCACAGACCAACAGTGAGTTCAACAAGCTCAAATTCTCAGCTTTTTATGGAAGCCAATGACTTCTTCATAACATTTTTTTTTTAATTTTCAGGCTGCAGAGCTACTAAGGCAACCGCCATTAAAACCATATCTTCTTGCACAATGCCATAGTCTACCTCCTGTTTTCAAGCCAATAAAATCTGAGTGCAGCAACAACAAATTTAGTCTCACCAGAAACTTCAGATCTCCCGGAAAGCCAAGTCCATCGAAAGGATTAGGCATTGTTCAGCCGGTGCATACTGATGATCTTGTAATCACCCAGAATCTGAGTATGATCAATGGCTGCCAAAACTGCCAGAAAAGACCCAGTAGTGGTAGCTCAGAGCTTACTTCAAATGCCATGTTAAGAGATTCTCAAGAAGAAGGTAAAATTAGTTCTGATCATGAGATAGTAACAAAATGCTGCTTACCCACCACGGTAAACTCAAATTCAGTGAAACCCAGGTCAGAAAACAGATCACTAACAAGTAAATTGACTGTTCAATGTGGAGATAAGATCAGGGAAAATGAAAACAACAACCTTAAGAATCCTTCAAAGCAGAAAGGGCAAGAAGATGATATTCAGAGATTAAAGGGAGGATCAAGTGAACCGTCCTTGATGAGTTTGCTCCATGGATATGAAGAGAAGATGAAGCGAATTAATCCTGAGAGTCAAAAAAGGGCAGAAGCTTTGGAATCTCTGTTGGAGATCTGTGCAGGTTTGCTTAGAGAAGAAAGGTTTGAGGAGCTTGCTGGTGTATTGAGACCATTTGGGGAAGAAGCTGTCTCATCAAGAGAGACTGCAATTTGGTTGACAAAGAGCTTGATGAAAATTCAGAAAGATGGTGGTAAATAATCTGCAAATTTACTCTAATCACAACCAGTTTTCCATTAGTAACTTAATATTTTGAGTAGTTTTTGTAACTTACAATGTGATGATATATATATTTATAGTACAGAATATGAAAATGATCATTAATCTTTTCTTGTCTGTAGCTTTTTTTTTTTTTTACTCTGAAAATGATCATGTAAATTTGTAAATATATTTTCTATAATTTTTTAATTTGTCCCAAGTATGGCACTATAAAGTTAGTCAATAAATCAAAATACTAAGAAGTAACATGTATAAACTACCAAAAAAAAAGAAAATAAAAGGAATAGTACTTAAACTGTAATTTGAGAATAGGCATGTATAATCGATGAATTTATATACTTTGTCAATTAATAGAGAGATACATATATAGAAGCGTGATTAATTAATATTATACATATATGTATATAAGCTTCTTCTTCATCGATCAATATGATCTTCTATTATCTTCATTAACCCTTTCTCGCTCCTTTTAGTCTTGTCAGTCAAGCTTTATATGTAACATATACAAGGACCTTCATTTTAGAGCATATAAAACGCCAAGAAAGAGAACAATGAGGCAGCAACCACGGAGCCGACCACGGACAAGGCTGCGACTGAGCCACCGAAGATCATTGGTTCAGGCGCCGGAGCTCCTATTAGCTCCTTCACGGAATCAATGGCGGCTGCGCTCATGCAGCCATCATAACGATCGCAGCACAAGCCACCTTCTTCATCTCCATGATGAGCTGATGTCGACGAGTTATCGGCGAAACTTTCTTGATTAGCAAATCTCTTGGAAAAACCCTTTATTTATTTTCTCTGAGGTTTTTCTGAAGAAGAAGATGAGGTGTTGAGTGGTTTATATAGAAAGCATTTGAGATTACTTTTTAAATAATGGTGACGAGATTACTGGTTTAGTTTTAGGGTTTTCTGGTTTTAGGAGGAGGGTAGCCGAAGACTTTTACGTTTATGGGCTTGCATGGAAGAAGCATCCATGCCAGACTTTTACATATACATATATATATGTATATATATATGAAAATAAATTAAACCCAACATTTGGATTCCTAGTTCTAAAATATGGATTATATAAATATACACACACACACATACATATGGGAATACATATGATCTTTTATACAGTCTAATCGAATTATATGGTAATTGATTTTAGAAAAAGATCAAGATATAATTAATTGGTGCCAATTTGGTTTGGATGTAACGGGTAGTTAGTGGGTAAAAGTCTAGTCCTACCTTCTTTCTGCAATAAAATTCTCTTCAATTATTAAATATATAAAAATAATATATTTAAATATTATTTATTGTTATTTTCACTAATTTATAAATTATTTTGCATGCAAAAATAAATAATTAAAAATTAAAAACGTTACTAAATTATTATTACGCTAAATAATATACATTTCAAAATAAATTAAATAGAAATAATAATTACCATCCATGTCCCATCATAAGACCGCCATCTCAACTACAACAACTGACAGCAAAACCCAAATGCTCTTCTCATTTCCCGCCACGTGTCCCAATCAACTACATGATTACGGCTACGTTACGCCGGTCTGCAGATCTCTGCAACCAAAACTTTGAGACCCACCACAGTTGGAATGCTATTCTAAGACTTATTCATCTAACGGTCTACAACGTGCATCAGTAAACAATCCAACGGTATTAAATACCTCCGGGGCCCACTACAAGGTGTCGACGGATAACATGTCAGTGTCTCTGCGGGTCCCACAAAGTAAATGAGCAAACATTAATTAATCACAAAGTAATAATTAATTACCAATTAAACAACATGATTAATTATTTTAATTAAGAAATTACGAATTCGAAATTTTGAAAGCAAGCCCTATAAATAGGAAAAAGCTACTCGCAGTTGCAGCAGCTTGATTCTTCTCTCTTCTGAAATAAATGGCAAACTCTGGCAGTTGGAGAGCCTTATTGATTGTTGTTTTGGGAATGGCGGTTCTCTCAATGGCTTATGTAACGGCGCAGGACGCGGCGGCGCCATTGCCGGCCATGGACGCCGGAGCTGGAACTACGATTACTGTCTCCTGTGGCTTCCTTTGCTCTTCGTTGCTCTTCTCTCTTGTCGCCCTTCTTGTACAGCATTGTAATTAAATTTTCTGTGAGATTTTTGTTTCTTATTCTTAAATGTTCATTTTACTGCTGTCGATTTACATATACACACACACACGCACGCACGCACGCACTTTTTCCTTTAATTTTTCGTTTCGTGTGCTTGTTTGAGGGACTCTCTTTTCACGAGAGTGAAAAAATAATGGTGATGAAGTGAGATTATCTGTTACGATTCATTATTTCTCCTTGATTCTTTTTTGGAGATCGATTTATTTTTGAATATCTTCCCTATATATAGCATCAATAAATAAATCTCTTACGTTTAAGATCTGTTGAAGGTTATATATCTTGGCATCTTTTTTGATTTTGTATAGATTTGTTTTGAGATTAAGACCTTGTTGATTGTTCTCTTGCGTTTATTTTCGGATACATTCATGTGATGCCTGTCATCAACCTGCCTCACTTTCTTTTTGTGCTTTTTTTCTTTTTCTCTTTTGAAATCTTTCTTTTCTTTTCTTTTCTTTTCTTTTCTCTTCTCAACAACCAAACAGTATCATTATTATATTTTAATCATATCAAAAACCTAAGAATAAATTAATAGATTAGTCTTCAATATTTTACACATGTTATAATTTCATTCTAAATATTTTATTTTTTATAATTTGATTTCTAATATTTTATATTGTTTCAATCTCATTTTATTTTTAAAATATTTAAATTATATTTGAATGTTTTAAAAATTAAATAAATTAATAAAAAAATTAACTGTTTTAATTTTATTATTAAAGAATAAAAAAAATTAATGTTTAAAATAAGTAAAAAATGTTAAAATTAAATTATAATGAAAAAATATTAAAACCAAATTATAATAAATAATAAATATTAATAATTTATTTAAAGATTAATTATATTTTATAATAAATGTGCTGATTCTAAAAAAAATTAAAATAACAATTAGCTTTCTTCAAATTGATTTTGGCTTTTCCTTCATTGATTTCCCTGTCACGTTCATCCACCGACCAGTTTTCCAAAATTGCGATAAAAATGGTTGTAGAAATGGGGAGAACTGCAGGAGTCTTCCGTTATGGACTCGACGAGTCAACTGTCAATTTCCCCATCATTCGCACCGCACCACACAAAAATATCAATTAGCGTAAATATCGTCCTACGTACAGCTCCGATCAATATATACATATACCCCTACCTTCTCTTCCTCCTTGTTTTTCATCGGCAACAATGGCGACCAAACCAGACGACCCGAACAGGAATCAGAATCCACACGTCCTGGTGTTTCCGTATCCGGCTCAAGGCCACATGCTTCCTCTCTTAGACCTGACCCACCAGCTATGCCTCCACAATCTGAGAATCACCATCCTAGTCACCCCCAAGAACCTTCCTTATCTCTCCGCTCTTCTCTCCGCCCATCCCACTGCCATCACCCCGCTCGTCCTCCCTTTCCCTCCTCATCCTTCCATCCCCGCCGGCGTGGAGAACGTCAAGGATCTCGGAAACGCCGGAAACATTCCCATTTTTTCAGCTCTCCGTAACCTCCGTGATCCCATCGTCGACTGGTTTCACTCCCACGAGGACCCTCCCGTTGCTATCATATCCGATTTCTTCCTCGGATGGACCATGCACCTGGCCCGCTCCCTCAGCATTCCCAGGTTTGCCTTCTTCTGCTCCCCTGCGTTCTTGGCCTCCGTTGTTGATTTCTGCTGGAACAACGTTGACTACGTCAAGGCGTCGGGGGATCCCATCCCCTTCCCCGATCTGCCTCGCTCGCCTGTTTTCAAGGAGGAGCATTTGCCGTCCCTGTTCCGGCGTTACATGAAGTTCGTGTCGGATCCCGAAATTGCGTCCCTCAAAGATAGCCTTGTTGCCAACACGCTGAGCGACGGATGTATCATAAATTCCTTAGAGAGTTTGGAAGGAGAGTATTTCGGTTACATAAAAAAGAAGATGGGTAGTAACCAGGTTTTCGGGGTTGGCCCGCTGAGTTTGACAGGTTTGGATCCTTCGGGTCGGGGCAGTTCAGGTCCGGAAACAGATTCGGATGCCAATATTTTGCGTTTTCTTGACGAATGCCCCGACGGATCAGTGGTTTACGTTTGTTTCGGAAGCCAGAAGCTATTAACCAGAGAGCAAATGGAGGCTTTGGCTTCTGGCCTTGAGAAGAGCATGACCCGTTTCGTTTGGGTTGTCAAAGCGGGCACAACCCAACAGTTGCAGGACGGGTACGGACTGGTACCCGAGGGGTTTGAGGAACGAGTGGCAGGTAGAGGATTAGTGGTGAAGGGTTGGGCTCCACAGGTGGTGGTACTGAGTCACAAAGCGGTGGGTGGGTTTCTGAGTCACTGCGGGTGGAACTCAGTGTTGGAAGGGATAGTGGGTGGGGCGATGATACTGGCGTGGCCGATGGAAGCTGACCAGTTTGTGAATGAAAAGCACTTGGTGGAGCACTTAGGCATGGCGGTCAAGGTGTGTGAGGGGGCGAACTCGGTGCCTGACTCGGACGTGTTGGGTCGTAAAATTGCTGAGTCAATGGGCGATGAAGGAGGAGTGAAGGTGAGAGCGAGGAAAATGACAGAGAAGGCGTTGGCCGCCGTGAGGAATGGTGGTAGCTCCTATATTGACCTGGAGAGGCTTACTAGAGAGTTGACCCACCTTCAGACTACCAAATAATAATTACTTATTTTAAATTTCAATCTTTTGATTGCAATCAGGACTTGTTCATGTTAGGGTATAAACATACGTATTTGCAGAAATGCAAATTTCAACATTATATTTGCAATTGTAACTTAATTCACGAAAGATCGGATTGTTACAGTACAACATACATATCGTGAGAATAATAAAGGTGCTGATTATTTAACGAACCTAACTTATGACGGAGGATGACTCTTTACTGCAATTCACTCTTGGGCTCCCGAGCATTTTTTGTAAAAATATTTTTAGTATTTTTTAATTCAAACCGTGTAATATTAATGTCTGATTGTTTTCATTAATTTACTTAATTATTTTTCTTTGTATCTAAAAATAAAATAAAAACATACTACTTTTAGCTTATTATACAAAAATATTACTCCATCCAAAAACATTAGTGTAAATTAAATTTTTTTAATACAAATTTAACTTTTTTTTTTTTATTTTTTTTAAAACGTTATAATTTTTTGAATATATATTTAATTTAATCATATAACTTTACTAATATATCGAGTTAAATTTTAAATTTTATTTAATTAAATATTATAAATTTATTAATAAATTTAATAAAATAATAAATTTTTAATTTTTAATAAAATTTAAACTCGTATAAAGTATTGTATTTTACGGATAAAATTCTTTGGAATATGGATCACACACATGTCAATATTTAGAGAAAAAGGAGAGAGGTCCAATTAAGCCATTTAATATGTACAATAGTTTTGCCCATATAAACAATACTCTAAATGATAATTCTCAAAATCAGCCATTCAATTTTATTTATGTAATATTTTATAATTTAATCAATAGTTAAACCATAAATATTAAAAATTATTAAATTAATGATAAAAATAAAATATTAAAAAACTTCAAATTACATATTTCCAAAAAAAAAAAAAAGAACTAATGCAAAAATATATCAAGAACTACAAGTAAACCCAGGTGTATGATTAATTTATTATAACTTATTATAAACTAGTTCATATATATATATTTACATATATTATATAACTTGAATTTCAGTCAATATTTCAATTCACTTAAAGAAAATTAAAAAAAAAAATCAATTGAAATAACTAATTGCTACGTAATTTTTTTGTACATAATTTGTAACGCCCAAATAATTTTAAATTATTTTTATTATTATTATTAATTTTATTTTTATTTATTTTATTTTATTTTATTTATCTTAATTTAATTTAATATAATAATAAAAATAATAATAATTGTAAAATTGGGTAAAAATATTATTTGGATTTAATTAAAATTGATTTTGGAAAAAATTGGTGAAAATTAAGATTCTGGAGGTATTTTTGAAAAGAAAATCGGAAACCGGGGGTCAAAACGCAATTTAGAAAAATTGTGCCCCGTAAGCGCCACGTCAGCGGCCCAGTCAGCAACCCTGGCCAACCAGGACCTGCCGCGTGGCAAGACCACGTCGACCGGGGAACGGGCCACGTGAGCGATCCGCGTGCGCGCGATCGGACGGCCCAGATGTGTCCCCGCGCGCACGGACGGCCCAGATGCACACGCACGAATAGCCCAGATTCAATCGCGCACGGACGGCCCAGATTCAATCAAAACGGACGGCTGTGATCAAAAGGCAAAAGGGTATAAATAGAACCCCCACACCTGACCACAAAAACCCTAGCCGCCTGCCCTCGCCGGAGAAGACGAACCAGACGCCGGAGGAGCCGGCCGCCGCCATCCGCCGCCGCACCAGGGAGTTTTCCGACCGCCGATCGAGGTAAATTTCATACCCTCAGCTCATTTTTCCACGCTGAGTTCCCCTATGGCCAAATCGGAGCCAAAATCCCGGCCAAACAGTCGAAACCCAGCGGCGCCGCCGCGCTCCTCCTCGATTTTTGCCTCCGATGAGGCCATTCCCGGCCTCTGTTTGATACAATTTTTATATCATCGTAATCACCATTCTTTTCTCTACAGGTTGATCGGAGCCGAATCACCAAAACACGAACCTCGCCGGAGAGACGCCACACCCGAGAGCACTGCCGCCGGTAAGCTTCAGTTTTTCGTAATTTTTTGGCCCCCCGAGGGCCCTAAGGTTGTTTTATCGCAGGGACCGATGCAAGTGTGGCCGAATTCGGCCGAAAACGGCCAACCCGAGGCGAATCGCCGCCGCCGGAGCACGGCGGAGCCGCCGTGCCGGAATTGCGATATTGGCCTAAATGGGCCTTGGGTCTAATTTGGGATTTTTTGGGACATGTGCAGGTACTAGTAGTGCGTTTCAGTTCCCCGGAAAAAATTTAGGAAAAATTAGGGACAGCTTGTAGGCGCACTGTGGAGCCGTGTTCGGACCCCGAAACAAGTAAGGACCCCTCACCCTATTTCCTATCATGGTATTAAAGTTCAATAAATAATAAAACGATGTTTCATGAATCAGTAGATATGTGAAATTGTTTAAGGTCGCTAATGGAGCCCGAGTCTGGTGTATTTGTCGGTCAGTTGTTGTTTGTTCTATTTTACAGTTTTAAATGCAGTATGATGCCTGATGTTCTCATTTCATAGTTTCGTGTGCATAAATCACTGTTTTATTGATTATGGGTTGAATGACTGAGAACCTGATGTTGTATATTGGCTTGTTTGTCATGAATTACTAGTTGCTTGTTTGTGTGTGATTTGATGATGCTGATTGAGGAAAAGGGGAATGAAAGGTTATGTAAATTGATAATTGTATAATGTGGTCAGCCTGACTAGATATCCTAGGAGATGGTGGACGGACCGGGTCCGTAGGGAACCCTACCGGGATTGTGGTCTCTCATACCGGACGGAGTATGGAGATCTTATGTGTTTTGACACCCATACCGGATGGGGTATGGAGATGGCCCGTTTCACCCTCATACTGGATGGGGTATTGAGGTTTATAGTTTTGGCGCCCATACCGGACGGGGTATGGGGATGGCCATGGAATCTGATTACAAGTGTTAAAGGTTCATGGGTAGCGGGACCCCTATGGATCCCCATGGATACTAGTAGGCTGGTAAATAAGGAAAAAAATATGTTGTGAAATGATTGAGATGCAAAAGGCGTGATAAGTATTATGTTATACAGTTCCTATGATTTCATGATGATGATAATGTTATTGATTTCGTATATTGTTTTTATGAATTTCACCTAGGTAAGTGGATAGTAAAGGTTTTTATGTTAATAAAAGAGTTTGTTGTAAACTATGCTCCATTGGTCCTTTTTGTGTTTTCTACCCACCTTTACCTCCGTGACGGTGAGATAGTGTGATGTCTTTACTGGGCTGGTGTAGCTCATTCCTTATTTAATCATTTCAGATTAGGAAGACATTGTTCCCGAGCCCGTTCCGCAGGAAGACGGCGAAGGGGACGCCTGAAGACTCCGTAGTCATATTTATAGCTTTTATTTTCGAGTTTCTCTTTTAGTTAGTTTGTTCTTTTATACTCTGAGCATGTTTTTGATTTTAGTGTAAGGGATGTTTAATCAAAATTTTTATTACGTTTCCGCATTTGACATTTTTAATACATATATTTCATTTCAAATTTCCGGAGCTGTTACATAATTATTGAAATTATTAATGCCGAGTATTCAATGATCAAGATTATGCAATGACAATGATCCAAGAGAGAAACAACGAACAACGAATTATTGAATTGAACAAAGATGGTGTCCCTGCAAGTCTGATCAGTCCGAGCAATAGCTCTGCAGCAATCTGGTCCGATAGAAATTTGACGGGTGAAGAAAGATGAAGAGATATGAAAGTAGCAAACGCTCTTTGCACCGAAAGAGAGCAAACAGTTAAAAAGCTCGGTTGGGATCCAGCACTGGAACGGAAGGAGGTAGTTGAGTTGATATGTAAGTCGGAGGAGAAGGTGGCCTCGTTCCCCCTCCCTGAGCTAGCGGAGGAAGAGGAAGCGATGGTGCGTTTCTGTCGCCGGAAGAAGGTGGAATAGTTTTATTTATTTTTTTCCTTTAAAATTATTGAAAAGTCTTTAATTTAATGGCTGTGAAATATATATGAAAATTTTAAATTAGAAATTAACTAAAATATTAAAAAAGATAATTAATTATCTTTTAATTAAAATTTGTTTGAAGTGTATTTTTATGCAAATAATAATTTTAAAGCAGAAATTTTCAAAAAATAATTTAAATTTTTGTATTTGAAATACTTCATTAATTTTACATAATATTCATTATATTATTGCAAAAATAATTAAAGCTATAATCCCGGTTTAAACTGAATAACAATCCGGTCGGCTAGGGAGAACCTGTGGTTTTATCTGAACCGGGAATTATTTTTAGTTTTATCAGAGAATAAACACACTAGGAAGATGACGAGGAGGCCATGTTAGGTATAGAATGTGGAGAAAGGAAATGGAAATTGAGGTTCCTCTCATGATCAAGTAGACGGAGATGGACGACTGTGTATATACTATTTCCGTTTCTATGGTTTACGTATTGTCTTTCCGTATATCTCTGTAACATCAGTTATCAAACTGAGTTTCTCTTGGGCGTATAATTTCTCACTGGTGATTTTGCAATCTATCTGGTTTTGGGGATTTACATAGCTATAATCCAATCTTTACGCAACACCTTTACCGTCTTTTACTGTTTTGAGAAAGAAAGAGAAGGGAGCATCCATGGATTCCCAGGTGATGGTGGCGCTTGCTCTCTCCCTTGTGGGTGGATTGAGTACCTCTCTCGGTTAGTAATTTGTAACCAAATTTCTCAAGAATTTTACTCTGTGACTTCAAGTAGCTTTTGCATTATGTGAATTTTTTTTTAAGTGCATCCTTCGACTGAAGTTTCACCCTTACCAGTGATGAAATTTGGTCGTTTCATTCAATCTTTTCGGTGATTATTCCGTTTTCGTTTTTAATTTAGTTTCACTAAATTGAATGTTGAATGTTTGTATTTCAAGAAGCTTTTGCAATCTAATTGACATGCTGAAATCCGCCAGGACTGCTCTTTCTTGGTGATGCAACTATGTTATTTCAATCGCTTTTCTTTGATTCTGGTCATTTCATTTGTACATTGGGTTTTCCCTAGTCTTGAATCTTGAAGGCCTTGTCCCATTGCTTGTCATATCGTCTGTGTATCTATGCGTACTTGTGCTGGCATGCATATGTATGTATGTGAGAGGAGAGGTGCATGTTGAAAATTTGTAGCTGTTTTGTACTCGTCGTCTTCCTTTTGTTATAAAGTGATAAGATGTTTAGTATCTCAATAGTTCGATTAAATTTGTTCATTATATACTTCTTCATAATCTAATGGGATTTTTCTCATTCATGAAATGGGATAGGTGCACTTTTTGTAGTTTTCAATAAGGCTCCCAATCTGAAGATGCTTGGACTTTTACAGGTAATGGTGATCAAATTGTGGTGCAATCAACTATTAGTTTAGATACAACAACTGTTCTTACCAACACTTACCTTTTCTTCTTTTCTGTACTTGTAGTTAATAATGGGATTTTGACGTTAATCTCATCTGAACCCATGGAGTATTCTTGCTTTCAGGTTTTGCTGCAGTTTGATGCTGAGCATATCATTCCTAGATTTAGCTCATAAAGCCATCAACTCGATTGGGTTCTTAAAAGGAATCTTTGGGTTAGCTTTGGCCTCCACTTTCATATGACTACGATTAGTAATTTCATCACATGGCCTTGTGTTTCTTGGACGCTAATATCTAATTTCTTGGTGATGCAGTTTTTG